TTTTAAAGAGAATAAGAAATAAGAAAAAGCATTAAAAATAATACAGAACATTGTTGATAGAAAATCATCAATGGTTTTTATATTGCATAATTAGCTTCAAAGTAGTTGTTCAGATTAACAAATATAAACGTGTAAAATTGGCCAAAAAATATTAAGCATTAATTGTCCTTTTCAATAGACCAATAGAAATTAGTAGTACCATTATCTTAGCTATCTTGCATCAATTTACCTATAAAAGCCTTGAGTTTATCTATTGTTGTAGCTGAGTTATACTCCATTGTATAAAAATACCACATCTTTTTTATCCATTCTTCAGTTGATGGGCATTTGTGTTCTTTCCAAGATTTAGCTATGACAAATTGTGTTGTTATAAACATGGGTGCACATATATCACTGTGATACAATGTTTTCAGTTCTCCTGGAGAAATAGCCAGGAAGGGGACAGCTGGGCTGAGTAGGACCTTCGATCCTAATTTTTTGAGGAATCTCCACGCTGATTTCCATGGTGATTGTACTAGTCTACATTCCCGCCAACAGTGGAGAAGTGTTTCTTTTTCCCCACAGCCTTCCCAGCATTTGTTATTGGTTGACTTCTTGATGATAGCCATTCTTTCTGGGGTGAGAGGGAATCTCAGTGTTGTTTTAATTTACATTTCTGGAATGACCAATGCTGTTGAACATTTTTTCATACATTTATTTGCCATTTGTATTTTTTCATCTGAGAAGTATGCCAGGCAAGCACTTATTCCACTGAGCTAGCTCCCTGGCCCCCGGTGATAATCATTAGCTTGATTTAGTGGTTTTGTTTTTTTAATTTATTTTTTTGGTGGAATGAGAGATTGAACTCAGGTCCTTGTGCTTGCCAGGCAAGCGCTTATTCTACTGAGCTATGTCCCCAACTGAGAAGTATGTATTCACCTCAAATGCCCATTTTTGGATTGTATCTTTGAATTTGGGGGCACCAGATTTTTAAAAATTCTTTATTGTTCTAAATAGAGGTCCTTTGTTTAAGGGACACTTGGCTAAAATTCTTTCCCAACTTGTGGATTTTCGTTTTACTCTGTTGGTGATTTCTTTTGATTTGCAAAACCTTTTCAATAACATGAGATCCCAGCTGACTCATTGGCGTATTTCCCACACAGTTTGTTTTTTGTTAATGAACTCTCAGCCTACCCCTATGTCTTCAAGATTTCTATCTACTTTATTTTCCAGTAGATTTAGTGTTTCTGGTTTAATATTTAGATCTTTTGTCCATTTTTACTTTAGTTTAGTGGATGATGATAGACATGGGTGTAGTGATATGAGTCAGAAGTTTACTGTGCGGAGGGAACAGAGTCTAAGGAAACTGGCTCCTTGTAATTCAGGCAAGCTGGAGAAAGGTGGTAACAGATTCCTGGAGGCAGCCCCTGTCTGTTCTTTGTTCCTTTACCTGAGAAGTTACCAACTAGTGATATGTAAACTAGTTAGTGAACACCAGAAGACAATGTAGACAGCAGTTCGTTTACACCAAATTAGTTTACGCACATTCCTGTTTCTAGTCCTCAATAAATGTGAGAAGTTTCCCTGGCTCATTTAGAGAGACTTAATT